TCCTCTCCTGACACTGAAAGGGAGAGGCTCTTGCAGGGAGTGACGCAGAGCAGCAGTATGCTTTAGAGTAAGTAAGTCATAATATCTCTTTTCTGTCCCAACAGCCAGAGAGCAGGCTCCGAGGCAGAGGACCCAAAGTGAGATTACTCCTGCTGCTGATGATTATGCAAGGAAGTTTCCCCACTGACTTCCACACAGTCAGGATTTTATCATCAGTGTGTCTTTCTGTCGTGACGAGACCATTGCAAGTCCGTTTACTACAGAGACAAAATAATAACCTACCTTTCACTCTTGACTTAACAACTCACCAATGCACACATATGTTCCAATGCTACAAAGCATTCCAGGTTCCACTCTAGTTAAATTCTTGCTTGGCAACCAAACTTGGCATGTGAGCCTCCTGAGAGCATTTTTTTACCTGTCAGAGTGAGATTTGGATATTTTGGAGGCCTGCTAGCATCACCAAGTACTGACTTAGTGTACTTACTGTAAAAAAACAAACCAAAAGATATATCTCACCCCAACAAAGTTTTATGAGTCTGACACAGATCTTCTGTATATCAACTTGACTCACAATAACTTTGTGAAGATCATTTTCAAGCTTCTAAAAATATAAAAAATTAATACAATTACAGTTCACTGAAAAATTAGCATGAAATACATTCTGAAAGCTAAAATCATTCATGGCAAAGTAATGTTCCATTTAATTACAAAGATTAATTTAGTCTTTATGTACGTGTCTGGTCTTTTCATTTTTCATTGAAAACAGATGATTCGAGCCATCTGGTAAAATTGCTGCATAAATATCACTGCATTTATTTAGATTTTACATATAGAAAATATAGAAAAATAGAGTGATGGATCTTGGTAAAACACAGAAAAGTTCCATCACGAGGCTAAAGCCCAGTCTTACACATATCAGTAGGAAGTCTCCCACTGAGTTGAGAGGCAGATGGACTGGGGCCACTTTAATGATGCATTTTATTTCCTATGCAGGGGCCACATGAAACATCAGGGGTTTGCACATTCTCAGCTGCATTCAAAAGTGAAGTCACAACTCAAGCGTGACTCCTGGCCTGAAATGATAATTTTTAGGAGTACTTGATCTGCAGTGAACTGACTACAACCCATATTCCAGAATACAGCTAATCATCAAACTATTTGTTTTTAATCTTTGGCTTTAACTTTCCTCTTATATTTGCATATCACAACAATACAAAGTATGTTAGATTTTTCAAGATTTCCAGAGCTAGTGTTGTTTCATGTAATAATAATTCACATACCACCACCTCACACTGCACCAACACCCCCCCACCTTAGTTCAATAATTGTTTTGAATGTTCTACATTAGCGAAGATGGAAAATACAGCTATTTCTCCAGTCTTGTAATACCTTCAGCCCAGGGGTATTAAAAAAAAACCAACCACAAATCAAGTGACTAATGTGAATGATCACACTCAGCAACACAACAGAATTTTAAAATATTATGGCATCAAGTGCACATCAAACTGTTTTCAGTTAAATACATACTGTGGTTTCAAAAGTGGTTTCAAAAGTAACTGAGTCCATTTAACAGCTTTGTGCTGCCAAATGAAAAAAAAAGTCCTAGTACTCGCTCTTCTCCCTTGCGCCTTCCATCTCTGCCCATACTTCTGCCCATGCTGCCTCCGTGAGCTGCCTCAGCTCCTTGCCTCATCTTTCTGGGAGGCTGCTTAGCTTAGCTCACTAAGATAGCAGAAATCTATCCAAGTTTTTCCCCAGCGAATTTTCCACCAGATCAGGGAGTTGAATCACTCGCTACAGAGAGAGACCCAGTGACGGCCGGCACTAGTGCAAGGCAAGTGCTGGGAACACGTAGTGTGGGAAAGCAGAGAAGGAACAGCAAAGAGATTGTGTGTTACATTAGTTTACCTCTTCCTCTGAATCATCTTTTGAAATCAAAGCCTCAAAGAAAACTTCCTGACTAGAAAATATTACCTAGTACACTTAAAAATACCGTACCGTACATTACCATCCTAGGAAACAGAGGGGAAAAGAGACACAAAGTTTTCTAAGCAAACTGTTATTTGGGATTATATATTCAGTCTTAATACCCATCATCTAGCAAGACAGTATTATTATTACTAACCATAAGGTTGCAAGCACCTAAAAGTTTAGTAGGACTGCCATGCACAGAAGAGAGTCAGAAAAAGCAACAATGTACATCAGAGTGCCACTTTTTCCTGTCCCAAATCTCTTTTGCTTCTGACTTTCTGGAAGGCAAAGACAATCATTGGTTCAAGCACTGTGACAGTAATTTCACTGGAATTAAATTTGCAGTTTAAACTACTCCTGCATTATTTATTTTTTTTAGCAATAGAACTGAACTAAATCACAGAAAATCTGAAACAACATTACTTATATAAAAATACAAATTCACTGTGATATTTTCATGAGCATAACTCCTTAGTTCAATGCAGCAGTATAATTAATAGACCTACTCATACTTTCTCCTACCACCTTGGTTCCAAACTTGTCCTGCTGCCAGCAGTGCTTTAATTTTGCTAAGAAAAAGAATTCCTTTGTCCATGTTATTTTAATTCCATTTTCTGTTTGTAACCTCCATATGACAATTATCATGATTCCATTATTTTATATGTAGAATACTATATATGACAGACATAAATGCTTTCATGAACAGAACCACAGCTCTGTAAATCAAATATATTTCATAGTGGCACACAGCAAACAACTTCCTCAGTGATTATACAATAGATAAATGCATTTATACAGCAGACCAGCCCAGCAGAGTACCTGCAAAAGATGTCTTTAACACTGAACCATTACTGTCCAAAGCTCCTCAGTCAGCTTTAAGGGCCTCTGGGCTGTCAGTGGAGCTGGGATCATGCCCGTGGACCAGAAGAAGGGATGCTGCACAGATATGCAGGCTGACTCAGCCTGCGCTGGGTCCACCTACGCCATCACGGCACCACACCAGCGGCGACAGGTCTGCTCCAGCATGGCGATTTCTGCACTGGATTCCCCTCTACACACCTGTGGATCATCATGTAGGGCATGACTACACCGGGGTGTGTGCGGGTAGCTAGGAGCTCCTCTGGCTGCACTTCAAACAATCCAGAAGCAAGTGTTGTGGTCTGAAGGCATAGCTCAGCATTAGCGTCATGCTGGTATATGTATGCCCCATGGTATATGCTGCTAAGATGCCTTTGACGTGGCTCTAATAGCTCATGCACCTGAGTGAAGCTTGGACACATCCTTAGCACTTTAGAAGAATATTCCTCCTCATGCCTTTATTTTCAGGCAGTTCTTTATGTTTTCCAATACAATTGCCTCTTAAAACAAACAAACAAACAAAAACAACAAACCAAACAAAAAACCACCCAAACAAAGAAACAAAAAAACCCAAAACCCACAACTCAAAATTCTCTTTATCTGTCTTTTGAAATTACATTAGATATCCTTACCAAAAAAATTTTGCACCAGAATCCTAAGGATTTGCAATGACAAAGAAAAAACCATCTCTGACCAGCCTTTGGCATGTTAGTGAGCTGCAGAAATTATTATGCTGCATTTTTTGTAGAAACACCTTCCTGGAGTCATTTCAGTGCTCACCGCCAGAGCTCCTCATTAGGCAACCTGTACTCCCACTGTCATGCCACCTTTTGCTAGGAACACACCCACCTTGCTGCAAAATCTTTTCTGCTGTTTTTGTTTTAGCTCTGGGAAAACAGCAGGTTTAACAAAAACCACTGCACTGACAAAATAAAAGTCCCTAGGGACCCAAAAAACCCCGTGTGCTGAAGAAATCTCCGGCACCAAATGCTGTAACACTCTGTGAGGGGCAGCCCCAGCGACCAGGAAAGGGCAAGGAAGCTCTTTCCACATCACGGCTGTATGGGATGTGAGTTACGGCAGCATTTCTTTTAGCTTATGCAAAACTCTGAATAACCTGTTCCAGAGAGGGACAACTTCTGACCTTAGCCTCTGCTTGCATCAATTTATATTCATTTAACATTTTCAAGGTTATCTTTGCTGAAGAAAAGATTGCAGAGCAACTTCTTTTTAATGAATGGAATGTGAAAGATTCTCTTTTCATTTCCAGCCACAGGTGAGTATCAGTCCCAGTCTTGATACAGCTGAGACCGGACGTGGCAGAGACTTGTTCTTACACTACTCAAACTGAAATAGGGAATAAACACAAGCGTTACTCAGCTCAGGACTTGCAGGTTTTCTCTCTGGGAAGAGATTAGTTTTGCTTGAACAGGGACCTTGACCAGCAGTGTACCAGTAAGCATGTCTCTATCAGTTGTCCATGCCTTATAATATATGGGGAGAAAGCAGATGCATGCATAGACAAAAACATAGGCTGCAGAATATGGAAAAACCATATGCAGGAAATGGTCGACTTTCTACTCAAGACCAAATCTCTCTCTATTCCAAATAATTACATATTTTTATACTTAAATAAATTACATGTATGTATTTATTTCCACACTGATGAAACTCACCACTTACTTACCCAGGAAACCAAGGCCAAGACACCTCACAACTCGCTCACTAAGGCAGGCAGCTGGGGAAGCCTTTATTCTTAGGCACAGCGTCCTGGGATCTGAAAGGCCACTAAGGGAGCAAATTCCTGAGTCTGATGACCTAGAGCAGGCTGTACCAATGCTTGGCAACCCTTTTGATGAAGAAATTTTTCCTAATACCCAATCTAAACCTCCCCTGGAGCAACTTGAGGCAACCTCCTGTGGTAAAGCTCCTCTAAAATTAAACTCCAGCAATACCAGTACCTGAAGCCATTTAAACATTTCACAACTTTGCTTCAGACCTCCATGACTAGTACAATACCTGAGCAAGTTGAAGTGCTGCTAAGGCTCCTGGTTCTGGACAGCTTGGTGCCCGAGGCTGAAGGTCCATGTCAGAGCCCCAGCCCACGGCCCTGCCTTGCCATGCTTCCTGCCTGCTTGCAGCGAGCAGGCAGCTTTCCTCTCCGTGATTCAGGAGGGCGTATACGGGACACGGAGATCACCAGAGCCAGGAAATGCACATTCATTGGAAATAGAGAGGGTATACCAAGTAGATATCTGAGCATGCCCTTGTAGACTCCTCCTCCATACAGAGAATGTGTCTCCCATACCTCTGTATCTGTTACGGTTGAGCTGGGGGACTGTCATGTCTTTGTAACTGTTGCTCTACAGAAGGTAGTTTTACTTGGTAAAACAACAAAGATAATGAAAGTTAAAGGTGAAACTGTTTGAGATCTCCAGGGGTGGTGGAGGACTTCCTATTGTTTGGAAGAATTAATCTTTTAGCATACCAACACTTTTGTGTTGCACTTCTGCCACAAAACCTTCAGATTCACCCCAGTCCCTGAGCAACTGCAGGTGTGTCCAGCCATCTGTATCTGTCTCCCTCCTTCTATTTCAAGCATGAGATTTGTCACAAGTGTTTTGATGTCACACACCCATTCTGGCCTTACAGAGTCATGGTGGAGTCTGAAAAATGACGGCTGTGAGATCAGGGTTAAATACAATTTCCTCTCCCTTCACCTGTTTTCCACTATCTGTTTACACGGTGCTCAGGTTATTAATGGAACTGACATCCCTGCACAACTGAGTGAGCAGTAGCAGCAGCCAGATAACAAGGGAGAAGCTGACAGCAGCGATCTAACCCTAGAGATAAGAGATAAGCAAACATGCCATGGCTATTAGTTTCAACCCTGGCCAATGGAGAAGAACATCTCCTGTGGTTACTAAACAGGAAAGCCCCGTCTTCCTGAGAAGGTTAAATGAAATTCAGGATGTGAGAGAGATTATTCTTTGAGTTCAAAAATTAAAGTTTGTGATCAGAAATAAACATTTCACTTTAAAAGAAAAGAAAAATGTTGTTGATCTGATGGGAAGTGAAGACCTATGTTTATTCAGAGGAAAGCGTGGAACACTTCTATGCCAGTAGGAAAGTATCTTGCATTCTCTGTATCTTCCAGGTGAAAAATGTTACCCTAAACATTGGCATTTTCCAAACACCTGTCTCAGGGATGGTGTGGGAGTGGTAGCATCAATGCCCGGACCAAATTCCAAACTAGGTAGGCAGAGCAAACTTTTCAAATCACTGACATTATTTCTGAGCTGTGCAACATCTACTTCACTGCCCGCTTCCTATCGAGTTGTCCTCTCCTCTTCACATGTCCACACACGATAGGATAAAGGTGAGTTACACCATGAATATAAGCTCCTGGTAACACATTTAATGCCAAAGGGAACTGTAGACCTGTAGGATAAGAATTAAAATATAACTCTGCCTCTTCTGAACTCCAGCTCATGTTTCACCTTTATCAGGAGACTTGCTCATTGCTCCCTGCAATGCAGCTGCTACAATACAGGCAGGACCTTAAATTACATCCAAGTACTAGTTCAGACAGGGACTACCCTAATTTCAGAAAGTTCACTTTCACAAAGGAAAAGTGTGGCCAAGGTTCAATTGGCACTAAGCAGAAGTATGCTTTCCAGTTTAGAAATGACAAGGTTGTTTCAAGAAGATCTGAATAAAACTTTCTAGTAGAATCAGTAAATTTGGAACTCAGCAGTCACCACCATCAGCTTTTGAACAGGAATGAAGTACCTAAATGCAATTAGAGCCTTTGGAAATTTCTCCCTCTTTTCCTAGTTCTTCCAAAGTGAGTCTGGCAGCTTCTGTTAGTGCTCTGAAGCAGTCTTACGCTTTGTGAAGTTCTCCGAGATCCTTGAAACAAAGATGAAAAATCATCTTAAAAGAACCAGTAAAAGTTGTCTTGGGATGTTTGGTTTTGAAATTCCATCCCCCTCCTTTACAAAGTGTTGTTCTGTCAGTAGCCTTCATTGCAAAAAAAGCCCACTTGAGATATGGGAGGTGTTGAGACTCAGGGATAGTTCTTCTGTAATATTTTTGCATTATTTTACACAGGATGGGTCCACAGACCTCACAAGGCACAAAAGGCATTTTTTCTTTTTGCAGAGCACCCAGTGCCTGCTCTCAAGATTGGATGCTTTGTCATCTTTGTGCAAAATTAGCATGGCATTAAGCAAGATTAATTTCAGCTCCTGAAGCTGCGGTGTCTGGTCTTTTTGTCTGGGTATGCCTCAGATCTTAATGAAAAGTTATTTTTCAGAACTGTATCTAGCGCATGCCCTGGACAGTTTATTTGAACAAATGCAGGAGTCTCCATACTCCCTGGATGTATTGCTGTGTCAGGGTTATACGTAAGCAAGAGCAGGCACAAGCAAAGAACAGGTAATGAAGATTCTCTGGTTTCCCCTCTACAGGAGTGTAGCGGGAGAAGGTGACATTTTCCAGCCAAGCAAAAGGAGATGCTTTCTCACACAGAGCAGAGAGAGGCAGTGGAGCTCATTGCCATGGGAAGCTGCGGATGATTAAAATTTGTCATGGGTTCAAAGAGTCATTAGGCAAACTCACAGCAGAAAAATCTGAATAAATACAAAGACTCCACTTCTGGCTCGGGCAGCAACTGAGCTGCAGATTGTCAGAGGCCGGGAGGAATATATCCCTTTATGCTTGCCCTGTCCTTATGTTCATCTCTAAACATCTGCTACTGTTTGGCCACTGTCTGAGCCAGACATTGGACCTCTGGTCTGAGCAGTATGGCTGTCATGTTCATAGTGAAATCACCCAAATGTGAAAAGAGAGAGACCATGGAGAACTGGGAAAGATGTCGGGAGCTCAACTAATTGACCGGAGGGCTGGATACAGCCAGTAAGTTCCAGCTGAGAAGCGAATGGTTTCAGTGGGATAACCCATGGACACCTACCTCATTTAAAGTACCTATATTTTGTTAAATCGGGGCTTGTACAGATGGCTCTTGATTTCCTAAGGGCTATTGGCCTAAATTGCACTGCATTATCTAGGGAGGTTTGCTGTAGCACTCTGAAGCAGCAGAACAAACCCCGTAGGCTAAACAACGTTACCTAACACTGCCTGCGAGAGACACCTATAGCTAGGCACTGTCCTCATATTTTCCTGTGGTTCTCTTGCCTCAGTATTCAGGCTGAGAGAGATGTGAAGAAAACAAGTGTTGCGTATACGACTTCCTTAGAGAGGAATAAAGCCAAGCAGCAGGCAAGTTCAGTAGGCAAAAAATGATTGCACAGTGACCTTGGGATTTTGTGCTCCATGACCTAAAGAGGTTAATAATGCCACAGAAAAAAATCTTACTAGAGAAAACCAAGCTTTTTTTGGCTTATCATACGTGATTTAAAAATAGTATTGCAAAGCAAAAAAAAAAACTTCCTACAATACAGGCTATTTTACAGGAGATTTACAAACTTTCAGAAAACAGGCTTTTGTGTAAAAGTCTCTTTTTCAAGGCTTCAGTTAAACCCAAACACGAAGGGCATTTAAGGAAGGAAAAAAAGTGATTAATAAAATAATGGCTGCTGCCCAGGAAAGGGAATAATTTTACATCTCAGTGATGATCTTCCACTGAATTATGCTTTGCAGAGCAGCAGCAATAAATTACCATTTTAAAAATGAGCGCCCTAATCACACAAGTCGTGTCAATGGAGTTTCAGCTGCGGGTTCTCCCTTTTCCCTGTGGCCCACCGCTACAAAGTACAGCTGTCAATACCATTTGGCTGACGTAGCAGGCTGCGATCTGCACCTTCATTGTAAGGGGAGCAAAAGGATCTCCTTTCTTAACCCGCTCCTCATCTGCCATCCTTCTCAGAGGCTGCAAGGTGGCCCAGAGCTCGCCTGGGGCTGCTGATGAGGGATCTTTCTGCACGGCTTGTGTAACTCGCAGACCATGTACTTGAAGACTGTTGCCAGACACACCCGTGGAGCTGTGCTCATTTGAATAATTTCTCTGGTCTTCAAATGAGGGCAAAATTTAATGACCTTTATAAAAGAGAGAGGCTAAAAGGGCAAGAAGAGGAATCTTTTGCACTTTTTTTTTTTTTTTTGAATCAGAGATCTCCACTGAAAATTTGGAAGGTTAACAGGCATAATTTAAGCAAATTTCAGACGGTAGTTAAATACAGAGCAATAAAGCAAGGCTTGCACAGAGCAGAGAGGAAGGACGGGACAGAAAATAGAGCATCACAGCACAGAGCCGAATGCTCCTCTCACTCGGAGCTCCTTTGGAAGCAACATGAGCTCCATCCAGAGAGCTAGGTGAGAACTGCAGGTGAAGACAAACTGAGTCACCTAACCCTGTTAAAATCTTTCTTTGCAAGACTGGTTTTCAGATGCTCTTGTTTAAATCCATGTTTCGATCACAGAAAGAGCAGAATGGAGGGAGGGCAGAAGGAAATTATTAGATGTTATCTCATTATATTGTTTTGTTACACAGGGAAAGTCAAACCTTAACTCCAAATTATACAAGGGCTAAAAGGTTGATTCTCAAAAGTCAAGGCTGCAGGACAGTTGTTCCCTATGTCACATGGAGTGGTTGATTTGATCCTTTTAATATGGTTTGGGCTCCTCAGATCAGTAGTGCCTCCTCTGAGTAACTTAAAACAACAGAAAAGACACAAGGAGAGGCTAGTTATGTCAGTGATTAGATGGAGCTGACAGGCTGCCTAAAGCAAAATTCAAGCATCGATTCTACCAGAGGACCTTTTGTAGGTCGATGGTCCCTTTGATTACAAAGCGTCAGGCTGACAGCAAGGTATACAAGTTTGGCCTCCATTAAAGAAAGGACTAATGACAAAATAAATGGGTCACATTGAGCAAGCCCAGTAAACAAAAACCACTAAGTTTCTACAATTTTTCTTTCTTTCCAGAGCATTCAAAGAATTCAAGAATGCAATGAGGTTAAAAATACGGAGGAAAAGCAAAATATATGAATTGGTTCAGGGCTGACCAAGTTAAAGCATGTTATTAAGGGCATTGTCCAAATGCCTCTTAAACACTGACAGGCTTGGCATATTGACCACCTCTCTAGGAAGCCTGTTCCAGTGTTTGAGCACCCTCTCTCAGTAAAGAAATGCTTCCTCATGTCCAGTCTGAACCTCCCCAGCACAGCTTTGAACTCTTCACATGCATCCCATCACTGGATACCAGGGAGAAGAGATCAGCACCTCCGTCTCCACTTCTTCCCTCAGGAAGCTGTAGAGAGCCATGAGGTTGCCCCTCAGCCGCCTTTGCTCCAAACTAGACAAACCCAAAGACCTTAGCTGCTCCTCACAGGACATTCCTTCCAGCCCTTCCATCAGATTTGTTACCCTCCTCTGGATGTATCTGAGTACCTTAACATCCTTCTTACATGGCGGGGCCCAGAACTGCACACTGTACTCAAGGCGAGGCTGCACCAACGCTGAATACAGAGGGATGATCCCCTCTCCTGAGCAGCTGGTTATGCTGTGTTTGATGCGCCCCGGGATGCGGTTTGCCCCCTTGGCTGCCAGGGCACAGAGCTGACTCGTATTGAGCCTGCTGCCAGCCAGCACCCCCAGATCCCTTCCTGCAGGGCTGCTCGCCAGCCACTCCTCTCTCAATCTATACTTGTGCCTGGTGTGACTCCATCCTACGTGCAGAATCTGGCATCTGTTGTTGTTAAATTATGCCATTAAACATTGCCCAAAGCTCCAATCTATCTAGATCCCTCTACAGAGCTGGCGCTAGAATTGAGCCCTGAGGAACACCGCTGGTGACCGGTCACCAGCCAGATGTAGCCCCATTCACTACAATCCTTTGAGCCCTGCTGTTCAGCCAGTTCTTCACCCAGTGCACCATGAATCTGCTCATCCCACAGTTGGACAACTTGTCCAGAAGGATGCTGTGAGGAGCAGTGTCAAAAACCTTACTAAAAATCTAGAAAAATTACATCCACCATCTTCCTTTCATCCACTAGGCAGGTGACCTTATCGTAGAATGACATTAGATTAATAATGAAGCAGGTGCCATCTTTTCTTCTGGAAATAGAAACAAGCAGAAGATGCTCACACAGGACTGAAATTCATTTCCAAGCAGAATATCCTACCCTATTAAAAAAATTCCATGGAGGCATTAGTAACCACAGAGAACTAAAACAGTTGTTTTACGTGTTATTTGGCTCGGACCAGCAATAATTGGCTAAAATACTACAGTTTGTCTAGAGGAGATTGAAGCAGAGGGTCCTTTCTGGCCTTTGTCTGAAAGAAGGTACCTTCAGCATCCCACTGCACCCTGTCATAACACTCGTCTCTATTTTGATAGTACTCCAAAACAAAGACTAAACCTGAAAAGACTCCCAGGATGATACAACTTGCTGTTCAATTCCAGAACAAACTAAGCGCCTTCCTAAATTGAGAAATCCATGGCACCTGCACTATCCTCACAGATGTGGGTGTCACTTATTGGCAAAGAAATGTCACTCTTACAGATCTATATAATAAAGTAATACTGTGGGGTTTTTAATAACCAGACAATCCCCACTTCAAAATTTCTGTTGTCTGTGCTGCTTTATTAAAGTGTAAGTATTAAAAAAATGACGGCATAATAAGCTGGGCCCATAAGATTTAATTGGAAGAAAATAACACGTTTTAAAGTTTCTCTTGTATTATAAATCTTATATTTCCCCAGTAAATTATCTGACCATACATGTAATGAATCTATTTCTTGAATTAAAAACATGCCCATCCAAATGTCCCAGCACAAATCCAATAGCTAGCATTAGCAATAAATAGTATTTAATAAATATGCACAAACTCCATGTCTGGAAATCTACCAAAATGTCTCTCTAGACCCTTTCCTTCTAGCCAAGTAGCCGTTTCTGTGAAACTGAACTTAAACTTAGAGTCGTTAGTCCTACTGCATTTCAAACCATAGTTGCTGCAATTTCTAAGTCATTACATAACACTTCTCTCTTACAAGCTTGACCTTGTTCCTGTGTCAGTAAACTGTAAAATTGTTGTTCAAGTCAGTGAGAATGAATTTAAACCATTTGCTATTTGTAGTACCATGGCATGTAATAGTATTTTTATTGTACAGCTTGAATTCCGTCTGTTATGCACTGCTTGGCCCAGACTCACCCGCATTAACTTAAATGAGGTGCCTATAGTGGGAGCGAAGTGCCACAAGCTTCCCAAATGTGTCAACAGAGGGAAAAAAACATCTCCACCTACAAAAGATCCAACCTACATTCTGAACAAAACTATCCCTAAATTGTGAAAGGGAGAGTTTTTTAGGGAGCTTATTAGTTTGTGGCAAAACTTGTATCATTTCCCTGCTGAAAGGCAGGTAGCAAGTTTTGAACGAAATGGTTAAGCAGATTGTTTGCCAGAAAAATCAACATGTGACTTGAATATGCACATAAAGGTATATATAAATGTCTCTATTAAGGAAATAATTAGAAAATTTTCCTGCTCTTATTATGCACCAAATTTGTCAAATATCTAAATTACAGATCACTATATTTCTAAGGGTATTTCTAGTAAAAAAACAAGCATAACAGCCAGTAAGAAATAATAACTGCAGTCCATTTACTATCAGGTTAGCAGAAAATAAATGTCATCTTACTATTGTTCTCTTGCTGTAGAGTTTATTGGTGCATGTATGCAGCTCATTTAATTTGCACATCTGTGAAAAACACCACTTTATAAAATGTAAATGGGCTGCATATGGAATGTTAAACTTTCCAATGATAAAATATCTCAACAGCCTTTTCATCGGAATTGCCAGAAAACTTTAAAGTCCGTGTTTGTTTTCAAATCAAAACACTGCTATTTTTATTCAAGCCCAGCGAGCGAGAACAGTTCAGTTGCACTTGCACGTCAGTTTATTCAAAGTTATTTACTGATTCATTGATATTCCATTGCCTCAATGAATAAGGAGACAGTCCTACACACTGCCCTCCACTCTTTGTTTAAGCCTCTGCCCACTGCTGCCCTGGGGGCAGAGCTCTGCAATTGGACAAGCTCCCTTTCCACGTATCCCATGCTGTAAACGTGGGAATAGACTGAAAGGGGAGCTATGAGTACCTCCTCCTGCCTTCACCTTTACCTCCTGCATTTTATTGTCACTCCATCTGAAAGTAATCAGGTAATGCCATCCTTGACCATAACACTTCATAGCTAACATTATTCTATTTGGAGATGGGTGTTTGGCTGGGATGGTCACCGCAGTCCTTGAAGATGGCTTTCAAGGTAGGCCTCCCACCGTGACCGTGACATTGGAGGAGGTACAAGACCTGGACTATTCCCATATCCCTTTCTAGGCTAAAGTCTCCATCTTCACACCAAACACCCTCAGCACCCAGATGTTTTAGACGCTGTTTTTTGTTTGTAGGTTGGTGTGCCCCTGACATCCCAATCAAGATGAAGACCTTATCAAGAAAGCCACTGTACAAGCAAATCTGAAATGAACTCACAG